TATATATATATATATACACACCAATATAAATAACATTACAAGGGTAGGCAACCTCGGGGAGGGGGGAATCCAGCCCCTCCGCAGTCACGGCAGAGAGCCATGACAGGATCGAGAGGTGAGCGAACGCCGGTATGTGTTCCCTCACTTCCCGATCTACTGAGCCCACCTGTGACAGTCTCATTGTCACAGGTCGGCTAGAACTATGAGGTGAGTGAAAAGCACTCACCTCATAGTTCTCCTTTAAAGCAGAACTCCGGGCACACATTTTATTAACCCTTTGCAGTGGGGCTACAAGGGTAACCTGCTGGATTTTGCCTTTCACTTCCAAAAGATGATTTTCAGCATTTCCAACCAAGTTTAAAAATGATTTTCCTGGAAGTATTTCGCTGGTCGGGGGTCTCCTCACCTTTCAGAGATGCTATAATATCTGTCGTCCGTCACTCCATCTTGCAAGGGAACGTTAACAGTGTAGTATCGTCCTTTGCCCAGCCCAACGTCGGTAACATCTCCGGTCCCTACGAATGAATGAACACACATACACTCAGTATTGGAATAGATGGATAGATGAAAGTGATCTTGGACACATTCCTTCAGTCTCCCCATCATACGCATCTGGAAGGTTTTGCTGTTGTATTAAAGAGACTTAAAAAAGGGAATTATGGGGTAACCTTTGTATCCTCCCATATTTTTAGTAAAACATAAAAGACGGGGTCACGTCGGGTAAATAGACACCAAACATGTCAAGCCTTAAAATTGCGTGCGCCCACAGGCGATGATTAAAACGCTTTTACTGCTCATCAGTTTAGTGTTATCGGTGATTAATGGCTCTAAAATTATTGCTCTCACTCCGACGTTTGTGCGGCGATATTTAACGTGTGCGGCACAATAGGCGCAATCGTCGTTTTCGCACGTAGGTGCACCCGACGCATATCTGCGTGAGTATGTGGGGGGCGGGGACTTAAAAAAATGTTTTCTTTTAAAAAAAATTTTTATGCTTTTTTAATTTTTGTATTACTTTTTTTTTAAACACACAACTTTATTGCTATTACATGGAGGGCTAAGAAGCCCCCTATGTGATAGCCAATTTACATGACAGGTCCTCTTTGTGGAGACATCAGGGGTCTCCAAGACCCCTGTCACCTAGGGACCCCCAGAGAAGCTGATGAAGCAGAGATCTAGCTGGAAAGTGACACTGAGTGCAGGAAGTGATGTAATATACATCACTTCCTGCATTCGGGGACTGAGAGGAGATCAGAGGGAGATCGTACACTGTGGGGGGGGGGGGGGGTGTTATTTCTTTTTACTATATAATTAAAAAAGTACCATAAATGTAAAAAAACAAAGTTTCCCTACGTTATGTTACAAAACATTTATTCTTACCCATATTTTTAGTAAAACATAAAAGACGGGGTCACGTCGGGTAAATAGACACCAAACATGTCAAGCCTTAAAATTGCGTGCGCCCACAGGCGATGATTAAAACGCTTTTACTGCTCATCAGTTTAGTGTTATCGGTGATTAATGGCTCTAAAATTATTGCTCTCACTCCGACGTTTGTGCGGCGATATTTAACGTGTGCGGCACAATAGGCGCAATCGTCGTTTTCGCACGTAGGTGCACCCGACGCATATCTGCGTGAGTATGTGGGGGGCGGGGACTTAAAAAAATGTTTTCTTTTAAAAAAAATTTTTATGCTTTTTTAATTTTTGTATTACTTTTTTTTTAAACACACAACTTTATTGCTATTACATGGAGGGCTAAGAAGCCCCCTATGTGATAGCCAATTTACATGACAGGTCCTCTTTGTGGAGACATCAGGGGTCTCCAAGACCCCTGTCACCTAGGGACCCCCAGAGAAGCTGATGAAGCAGAGATCTAGCTGGAAAGTGACACTGAGTGCAGGAAGTGATGTAATATACATCACTTCCTGCATTCGGGGACTGAGAGGAGATCAGAGGGAGATCGTACACTGAACTCCCCTTTCATCTCCACAGAGTCACAGAGCCGTGCCGGTCCCGGCCGCATCGGGCACAGCGGATCTCGGGACCGGCAACGGCAGTGACAGCTGCTGATACAAGCGATCGAGCGTCTCTAGAGACGCCCGATCGCTTGAATGTAAAGCTCCCGGCCGGCTGTGTAATTACAACGACCGGCCGGGATGCTGCTCGTCGGGCTCCGCCGTCCTCTCGTCACAGACGAGCGGATTTTTCAAGCCCTGCCCATAGTTCTCTTTATGGTCACGGGAGGACATATACTAACCTCCTCCCGTGAACCACAGCTCAGTATATCGCAAGCTACAGCTCAGTATATACTGAGACTGCCGCAGCCGGGACAGATCCCGACAATACTGTTGAGATCCACCCAGCTGCATGATTGACAGCTGGCTCTGCCTATCTAGAGGCAGCTGTGCCCGCCCCCTCCCCCGTCCGTTCCCTCCAGTCAGCGCTGGAGGATCGTAGAGGAGGGGGAATCCCTGCGGGGAGTGGTGACTGGCAGTCACCGCTCTACGCACGGAGATGATTGAGAATTGAGCGAGCGACGTTATGTGTTCCCGATCTATAGAGCCGACGTGGGACAGTTTCATTGTCACAGGCCGGTCTAGCTATGAGGATGAGTGGAAATCACCTCAAAGATCTCCTTTAAACGTCATTTTCTAAAAGGTGACAGTGCAAGAAAATGTCACTGCTCCATCCAACGCTGACCCTTCAACTCTCAGGCGAGCACGGGTGCAGGCTAGGAGCCGCCCATGCACCAAAACCGTCACACACCATAGATCCACCGACGATGAAAGATTGAATCCATGTCCAGCACATCGAGACTCCTCGTCTGGAGGCCCCACAGGGGGCGAAACATGTTAGCGTGGGCAGCCTCCGGATGGGGGAGTCTCGATGTGCTGGACGTGTCTTTTCTAGTGGAATACATCTTTCATCGTCGGTGGATCTATGGTGTGCGGCTTCTTTTCTTTTGGTTGGTCATTGCGGTCAGGTTTAGATCTACTTTCATGACCAAGAATAAGATATTGATGAGGAGAAAAGGAAATACACTTGCCGGGGAAGAATCCGGGTGAAAATTTGTGCAGGGAAACCGTCATGACTTTAGATGTGAAACTAAATGCGTCTTCCACTCCTGAAACATAAATAGAGAGAGAGAGAGAGAGATTAGATACCAATTGCTTAAAGGAGAACTATGAGGTCAGGGCTTTTCCCCGTAGTTCTCCTTAAGGTAACGGGAGGACACAAACAGGAGGACAATTATGTCGGGATCCGCCCAGCTGCGTGAGTGACAGCTGACTCTGCCTATCTAGAGGCAGAGCCAGCTGGACCCGCCCCCTCCCCCGTATATATATATATACACCAATATAAATAACATTACAAGGGTAGGCAACCTCGGGGAAGGGGGAATCCAGCCCCTCCCCTGTCACGGCAGAGAGCCGTGACATGATCGAGAAGTGAGCGGACGCCGGTACGTGTTCCCTCACTTCCCAATCTACTGAGCCGACCTGTGGCAGTCTCATTGTCGCCCCAGGTTGCTTTCCCAAATGCAGCTCTGTGGGATGTGGGCAGAGACAGAAAAGGAAGCTCCATGGCTTTCACCGCCGTCCCACATCCCCGGAGCTCTGTAGCTTCATGTGGAAGCATCTTAGTGACACCAGCAGGGCAGAAGCCGAATGTGCTGCGGTGGCAACCCGGCAGAAGCCGAATGTGCTGCGGTGGCAACCCGGCAGAAGCCGAATGTGCTGCGGTGGCAACCCGGCAGAAGCCGAATGTGCTGCGGTGGCAACCCGGCAGAAGCCGAATGTGCTGCGGTGGCAACCCGGCAGAAGCCGAATGTGCTGCGGTGGCAACCCGGCAGAAGCCGAATGTGCTGCGGTGGCAACCCGGCAGAAGCCGAATGTGCTGCGGTGGCAACGCTGCATAGGTTGGATGTGCCGCAATGGCAATGCTGCAGAAGCTGAATGTGCTGCGGTGGCAACGCTGCAGAGGCCGATACCAATGAGAGGCCAATGAGATTTGAAAACTATGGTCACAGCTCTAAAATTAAAGATCCTTATATAAAGCTTTCCCTAATGGAAGACGCCCCACATGTACGGTGTGTAAGGTCTTGTGTCCTGCTTACCGTCTCCGTGATGCAAGTCCAGATCTATATATAACACCCTCTCGTATTTCTGTCGCAGTTTCAGGATCCCTAATACGGCATCGTTAAGGTAACAAAACCCAGAGGCTTCATCTCTAAACAGGAAACAAAGAGAACACAAAGTAACCTTTCCAATGATCTCATGGCATACTGCAAAATATACGACGACCATAACTCCGGTCTACTGGCCTCTGTCATAGGACTATTACCCATACTGGGGGGGGGGGGGAGAGAGACTCTCTAGGGCGCA